TTACTAGTTGTATTTATCATACTAATATTGTACAAAAAAAAAATTGAAGAATTAACCAGAAGCAGGCCATTCTCCTGAATATCTATGACCCACAGATATTTAGCATTACAGCTGCTAAATGGAAATTCTTCATTGGCTCATTGGCAAATCATCATGCGCCGCCTCGGCCTTTGACATGCTTGAAGTGTATATGACAAATGTCTATAAAAATATAGTTCACTTGGGAAGTACAAATTCTGGAGGGTTGCCTTGTTAATCTTTTACAGCAAGCATGACAAGGTCTGGATTCTTGTGGCAACTTAAAGTGGCATGTGAGAGTGGAATACACAGGAAGGGCAACGATAATAGAAGGCTTGTTAAATACTGACCAGCTAGGCAAGCTGATTCATTTTCAAGAATTTCCCCCCTTATTGTCACTTATGAGGGACGTTCGATGATGACTCACGTGAATCTGGTGAGATGAAGTAATAAAATGCAAATATGGTCCGTGTAAATTCTGTGGAGTCTGTTGATATGCGAAATGTTAAGGAGCCAGAAGATGAGTGGAAGATGGGAACAGATATGTGGGTTTTGCACACTTGTCCCAAGAGAGGCGCATCTGTTGAAGGGCCATCATATACTTCAATATTTTCTCTGTCACATGTAGATGATGGATTGAATCTGGAGCGGCCGGGGAAAGACACCATTGGTTAATAAATATATCAGGGGATCCATCTTGCCTTGTGTATGTATTATGACTCAAAAGTACGCCCCCTTATGCTCAATAGGGCTTAGTCTTGGGTAAATGTGTTCATTTATTTTTGGCACGTATAAAACACCAAGTTTATCATTTTCAATGGGCACTTCGCAAATTTAAAAACAGTTTAAAAAATGGACGGTATTGAGTTACGTTTTTGCACTAGTGCAAGTATTAATACTAGCACAAATAGGTTTCCTTCCCTCTCCTTCCTCTGAGTATGCCTTGTGCCATCCCCAGATCAGTTCTGGAGGGTCAAGTGAACAGATTTCCATCCAGGGAGGGGAAGTGCCATTGCAAAAGTGGAAATCCACTGATGGAACAATTTGCTTAACGCTACATTGAATACAGGATTGCAGCTTGGGAATTCTAAATGATCAAAAGCATTTGTTTGTTTGTTGTGATTTAACAACACGAAGCCATTTTGGAAAGTCCAGTTCCATAAGTGGTTCACTTTCTGCAGTGGAAGGCAGCTATTTGAAAATAACAAAGATACACAAAGACTAAAAGTAAAGGTAAAAAGACTAGCATTAGAGTCACACACAAACACACGGCTTGAATGTTAGTTCAAAATAAGAACCTGCCATTGGCTATCATTCCCTGTGAATATAGTGCGATGTTTCTCTTTCTCTTGCTATCCCTCCTTTCTATAGTTTACCTATGAGACCTGCGGGTGTAGGGTGCTACACAAATTCAATAAATAATAAAAATAAAATAATGCCTGAGAAATTAAACAATTTTAGATGCAAGTGCCAATAAGGGCTGCAAGGGGGCTAATACTTCCTTGAATCGAAAGCACCTTTGTGGCATGTGGAAATAGCTGTAACCTAGTTTGGAATAACCTAGTAGGGACGCGGGTGGCACTGTGGGTAAAACCTCAGCGCCTAGGACTTGCCGATCGTCAGGTCGGCGGTTCGAATCCCCGCGGCGGGGTGCGCTTCCATTGCTCGGTCCCAGCACCTGCCAACCTAGCAGTTCAAAAGCACCCCCAGGTGCAAGTAGATAAATAGGGACCGCTTACCAGCAGGAAGGTAAACGGCGTTTCCGTGTGCCTCGCTTGCTCGCCAGATGCAGCTTCGTCACGCTGGCCACGTGACCCGGAAGTGTCTTTGGACAGCGCTGGCCCCCGGCCTCTTAAGTGAGATGGGTGCACAACCCTAGAGTCGGACACGACTGGCCCGTACGGGCAGGGGTACCTTTACCTTTATCTTTAGTTTGGAATACTTGAAGTATACATTTTAACTTTTCAAATTGTTGTAGATATAATGTATTCCTTCCTTTTAATGAGATTGGAGCACATGATATGTTATTTTATGGTTTTTAAGATTATGAGAATGTTTCAAATATATGCTGTGGCAAATAAACTATTTTTTTAAAAAAAGAAAAGAAAAACCAGCTGTTGGTACAACCTTCTAAAATTCAGTGTACTTTAGCTGTACTTCAATCAATCTCAAAGTACTTGAAAATTAATCCCAAATATGTGCTTTTCAGCTGTACTGTTCAGAACCCATTTAAAGAATACTCACTCATAGGAAGAGAAGATGAGTCGGATTGTTTCATTCACATGCACAGTTGTATTAACATCTCTCTGTATTTGCCAGATACAATTTTCATTTGCCTTCAGTGTAAGCGGCAGTGCTTTATAGTTATTGTTCAGTATACCGCCGCATGCACTTTTTGCTATTTTTATAAAATCAGAAACCATTGGTTAATCTCAGTAAGATTTTATGGAAGACCTTGGCCTAAAACATCTAATGATCAATCACTAGTAATGATAAATATAGATCTCATAGACCTCTCAAAACAGCTGTTTAATCATTTTATTGCATGCATTGCAATATGCTTTGAATTAGAGCACCACAATAGCTGTTCTTCCAACTGTAGACAAAATCCTTATCAACTGTTGCAGCCAAATATAATTTAAGCTGTTTCCCCTGATCCTGAGCATCACTGTTTAATTTCCTAAAGCGGCAAATTGGATTTTTAAAATATGCTTTGCAAAATGTGGAAATGCCAAACCAAGCGTGAAAATTTAAAGTGACCATCACAGGGTGTTGTTGTTGCTTTTACCTACCCGAAATAAAATACTTAGTATACATACATACATACATACATACATGCAATGTAAACAGTTAAATATTTGGTCGCCAAACATTGTTCTCAAATAACATCTGGAAACAATTCAGAGAAAGTGAGAAAATGATTCTCATTCTTAAATCATGCCCAGTGAAATCAACAGGATTCAGGTTCTAAAACTGCAGATTTGTTTAACATTTAAAGCAAACGTTGTGATTTAGAAGCAGTTGCATCTTAATAGTGCATGGCTTTAAATCAATTTTTAAAAAAAGTTTTTGAAACTTCCATACCTTGGACTTCGGTCAGCTTATTTTCAGCAAGAGTCGAACCAAATAAAAGTGCCAAGAAAATGCATTGCCTGAAAGCTTCCATTTTGCTGAAGACAGGAGGTCACTTTTCCTGGCCCTTTTTATATCTTTGTTTATTTCATAATCATTCTGGCCCACATGGTTTGATAACAGCTTGCATAATCTTTGCAGATCTTACTGGTGCTTTGAGCTGCGGCCGGAGATACCTGTGAGAAGGCCACAGGTGTTGCATGACATGCTAGGTGTGCTAGATAAGCAGGGGTGGGCAGGCTTGTGTTGCGTTATCTTCTGTGAAAATGAAAATGTAAAAACCAAAGACCTTGAAGGTCCACCAACTAGAGCCAGTTGTAAAATAGAGGCTCAGGAGGGAGGCACAATTTAACAGTTATAGGAAGGGGGCCTCTGAGCACATGGTCAGCTCAAAACAAATATACCCCTCCAGGTTTGCCCCTAAACATTCTTTCAGTTTTTGCGTGTTTTGCAGTTGCTCAACGTCACTCATTGCGACAGAACTGACCTAGAGTGCAGCCCTTCTTTGGTAAGAGATGGGGAAGGATTGGCTATGTTGCTGTATGTCACTATAGCTGCATAAACATCATACCTTCCATGCACATTCAAAGCACAATTTGGCCCCTCCAAGAATTCTGGGCACCATAGTTTGTTAAGGATTGCTGGGAACTGTAGTTCTGTGAGGGATAAACTACATTGCCCAGAATCCTTTGGGGAAAAGAATGCACTGGGAACGTGCTTGAAAGGTATGGTGTGCATGCAGCCTATGTTGCCGTAGATGAAGGTGGGTGAATGAGTGGGTTGTCAATTAGGCCTAGTGTATTTTTGTAGGCTAAACATTGCTGTTTAATAACTGGTTGACCGGGGATTAGTTATCTGTACGGCTGGTGGGAATGCATGATAGTAAGACCTGGATAAGGACAATGTATTTGGGAGAGGTTACTGGGCAGGGAAGCGTGCTGCAGCTTCTATTTCTATTATTTTATTATGAATTGTGCGATTTTGTGTTTGTTGTATATGATTTTTATCCACAATCTTCTTCTAAGAGAATGCTCTATTTTTCTTTCAAATATGCCACTTTAGATGCGCGTTTTATACTTGACCTTTGCTGGTATTATTTTATTTTGATATCTTGCAGTGTTATATTTGCTGCTTTAATTTAGGCTGAAAACTGCTTCGATATTCTTTCAGAATTATATATAAAATGATATAGGAATGACTTAAGTAAATAAGTAAATAAGACGGAGAGAGAAGTTCTTTTAAAATTCAAGATTAGAGGAATGCAGGAGAATGTCAAGGGGAAGAGTTCTGTGCTATGACGACAAAGGTCCTTGTTACAGGTTTTCCATGATACCAGCCAATGAGCCTGCCAGAGCCACAGATGTGATGCTATCCAAAGCCTGAGCCACACTGCATTAGATAGTATATGTGTGTGCACATACTGGTGTGTGCATATGTACACTTGTACAGATATTCAAGGCAAATTTTCAAGGTGGAATGATGCAATGTGTTTTCTGATTAGAAAGCTAATGCAGCTGTGTAAACATAAGCAATGCCCTCGTAAAATGGGCATTCAGCTCATCCACCAATGCAGCCTAAATATGTTCATTTTTGCTACTGCTTATATGACCATATGCATGCATACAGTCATACCTCATGTTACGTTTGCTTCAGGTTGAGCATTTTCAGGTTGCGTCCTGTGGTGACCTGGAAGTACTGGAATGGGTTACTTCCAGATTTCGCCGCTCGCGCATGCTCAGACGCACAAAATAACATCACTCGCATGCGCAGAAGCGGCAAATCGTGACCCGCGCATGCACAGATGTGGGTTGCATTCTTTTCAGGTTGCGAATGGGCCTCCAGAATGGATCCCGTTCGCAACCAGAGGTACCACTGTATATTCTTTAATACTGTTTATACCATGTGCCACCTGTATAGCTCCAGCAGCGGTGTCTTTGACCTTTGACCATAACTGTCTTTGACCTTTGATCAGTTTCCTCCAAGAGCACCTGGATCTGGCCTGCAACCACCCGCTCAGTAACCTTGGATGAAAAGTTGCCTGCTTTCAATGGGGTTGCCCAAGTGGCCTGAATGTGTGAATTATGGTCTCGATATGATTAGATACACAGAAACATGATTTTTTTTTTTGACAGCTAGCTTTATTTGTTTTGCTAAGTTGGTGAGCCAACTAATTGTGATGACTTCAAGCCAAAGGTTTTACAGATCTTTCATATTGACTACAAAGATACCAGATGATCGGAGTTACAAAGGCAGATCAAAGCATGTATTCTGGCATCTGAAGTGCCAGCTTCTCTATGAAACTGTCTACAGTGATGAATTACTTCAAGATAATGCCACAGACAGAGTCATTATGCAAGTATCCTCATTGACCTTGGCGGGCATTGCTAGGTGACACTACTTAATGAAGGATAAATGGCCCAATAACTTGCACGTGTTCTTGACCAGCGCTTATTTCTCTCTTACGCCTGGGCATGCAGCCTTGGTAGCATCGAGATCTAGAGTCATATGCATTGCACACCACAATTTTGCACTGTAGATAAACTGTTGACCATTTGAAGTTGGGTTTAAAGCTGAAGCGGGTGACCCTCTGTCTATAAGAACCTGTATAGGTATAATCTTTAACACACCTGGGGGGGAAAAATGGAGAAGGAATGATAAGCAATTGCAATTTTGCCCAATAGACACATTGTTGCAAAGCCGTCTTCCATAATATAATGCATTTCTGTATGCTATTTTCCAGGAATACATGCATTTTTATTCATATTTGACCCCAGTATGTGCATTTTTGTACACTGTAGAACTGCACTGAGAAATTTAGAGAAGGGAAGTGGAAAGGTGAAAAAAAAATCCAGGGAAAGAGGTAGGAGCGGATCGTGGCCAAATAGAAGGTAGAATCTATAGAGACAAAATAATAAAAGGATGGCTGTGAAGAGCTTAGAGTCCTGGCAGGATAGAGCCAGCTGAAGTGAAAGTTTAACACAGGGTTCCCCCTCTCCCCCCCGTGTGTGTTTTCTAATAATTGACCCTGTCCAAAGTATGCAGAAATGTTTCTCAGCTTATTCTCCCCCTTACCCGTTCTGTATTAGAGTATGTGTTGTAGTTCTGAAGTCATGAGAGCTAGGCGAAGCCACACAGGTGTCAACGAAGAATATTTGCCTCCGATTACAGTTAGAGATTTCGACTTCGAAGTTTTTATTCTGGTTTATCTTCATAAAGTAGGGCATGGAAACTACTTGGTGTGCGAAGGAAGGTGAGTCATAAAATAAAAATTTCATATGGAATAATCCACTTTGCTTTCGGCCTTCTTCCGTGGATTCCATTTCATCTATGTTGTGCGTCAGTTCCTTCATGGCTCTTGGCTCCATTTTGCAGATGAAGATAAACTGAGGATTTACACCAGTTCCACGGCTGCTGACAGTATTGGAGAAACTGCTAACCCCTCCATTGTTCTGTTAAAGCATTAGATTAGACAAAACAGATGGACAGTAAGTTTAAGTATACTGTAACAAATAAAACCAGAGCAAAAACAAACCAGGAGCTAATCAACAAAGCATAGTTTCCTGGGTCAGATTAAACAGGAAACTACAGTTAATGGAAGACTTATTAGTTAGGTCATTCATGAAAAGAGGAGTGAACGGATTGTATGCATGTCCACAAGCCTTGTTCATACATGGCTTACAAAGCCAATATATGATAATTTGAATGCAAAGGGGCCCCAGGGGGTATAATTTGACAACTGTTTTATTTTTTGAAACTCACATCCTAAAAGTTCTCCAAATAAAAGCTATCAAATTATACTGATATGTCTTACGATCAGATATACATTTCCTTACCTCCCGTCTTGTCCCGCAACCATCATATGGTATATAGAATATAAATTCATCTCTTGTAATCTCAGGTTTGCAGGCTTGGTCACTCAAGTACAGATTGCACTCAGAGCAGCCTTTTGAAGTAAGGTATTCTCTGCCAATAACTGCCTTCATGTATTCAGGCAAACATGTAAGTGTTACTGGACAGTGGAAGGGGGGAAAAAGTATTGTTGAGTACTATAAGCAAAGAAAATAATAATGTAATGTTGTGTACATGCACATATGCCCATCGGTTAAAAGAAACATTCTCACAGTACATTACACAGTACATTTCCACTAATGCCTTTCTGTTGTAGCCTATGGTCACTTTATATTGTTTTTTTCAATTATAGTGCTTTATTGGATTGTTTTTAGATAATTTGGTTTTATTTCACCCAGAGGACCTTGATAGTTTGATATATGCAATTCTTATATATTTGTTTAGCTTTTTTGAGCTGTGAGCCATTTTGTAAAATATAGAGAAGTGCAACTTCTGAAGGACAATTAGGTTCCAAACTGTGCATTAGTCCAGCAGGTGCTGGTTAGGTCAGTTTGCTTAAAAAGGAGGATCGAACAAAATTCTTATCCATCTCTCTTCCCAGCTATATATTCTTGTAAAGATTATTTCAGTCAACAAGTAGAACCACCTTTCCTTTTCATACTTCACCATGGCCTCAAGCAACAGGGAATGGAGAAGAATGAGAAGGCTAATTTTGAGGCCTTAGGTAAAAACTATACATGGATTCCAGAAATGTTCAAAACAGGAGGTGGGTAGCATTTTTGTCACTGAAGGAGGAAACATCATGGTCCAAAATATTCTTATTTTGCCAAAGGCCCACAAAATGTCTTAGTGAAATGTTTTATAATACATTAATTAAAAAGCAACAATATCATTTTTAAGATTACCAGGATCTGTAGTTGTTTCATCCACAGGAGCTATGAAAAAACAAAGATGTTGTTGATGATAATGATGATGATGATGATGATGATGATAATATTTAGACCCCACCTATCTTGTCGGTTTCCAACACATATAAAAACATAATAAAACACCAGACATTAAAAACCTCCTGACACAGGGCTGCCTTCAGATGTCTTCTAAAAGTTGTATAGTTATTTATCTCCTTGATAATAGAAGATAACATATAAAGACTGTTTGCTTATGACATTGTTTCAGTGCAATATATTTTAGGAGTGGTACCTAAATGGCTCTCCAACACAAGAGTTATTCCATGGTCAAAAAGGCCAGGGGAGGCAGCGGTTTCTTGACAAATACCAGGCATTCCTGGTGCTGTGAGACAGCACATATTTTCAACTCTAAAAACATGCATGTCTGAATTATTTGTATATCACAAAAATATTAATTACCTGCTGTAGTGGTGGCTTGGGGGGCAGCCTTTGCTGTTATATAAAAAAGGATTGAAATGAAATTACTCATTTTTTAAAGTGGCATACATATTTGCAACATATTAAAAGTTATGCACAACCTGCATTTTTTATGCTGCTCATTGGCAAATTCCTACCTGAAAAACCCATTCTACAATGTCCACGGAGGTAGGATATTATGAAATCACGAAATCTCATGACTCAAACTACAAGAAAGAAGATTCCACTTAAACATTAGGAAGAACTTCCTGACAGTAAGAGATGTTCGACAGTGGAATTTGCTGCCAAGGAGTGTGGTGGAGTCTCCTTCTTTGGAGGTCTTTAAGCAGAGGCTTGACAACCATATGTCAGGAGTGCTCTGATGGTGTTTCCTGCTTGGCAGAGGGTTGGACTCGATAGCCCCTGTGGTCTCTTCCAACTCTATGATTCTATGATTCATAATGCTCACCTCAAATACAAGGAAAGCATTACGTCCTTGAGATAAGGTCCTCTAGGCTTCCTCATTTGGCTTGCAGAGTGGTTTGGTCCAAACTATGGCTACCTATCAATCACCTGACATCAAGTGATGTCAGGTGTGGGACAGATAAATCCACAGAACCAAACATAAAAAAGGAAGAATCAAACAGAAAAGGAATAAGATTCTCCCCTTTCCAGCCACTGGTAGAGTTCAGCACTTTTAAAATCCAAGATACGCTTGCAAAGGATGGGAGAACAAGTGCACTCCCGATTCTTCCTTTCAAGGTGAGTCACCTGGCACCATGTAGCATCAGTTGATTGGCATGTGAAAGGCTTCACTCATCTGTTAACATGGCCTACAGGAGGTGGGGGACTTCTGGAAATGCTCCACTGGCCAGATCCAGTTCCCCCATCACTGCTTTGAGCAAATGACAAGATGGTGCCCTCCCACAATCTGTGTATGGAATCCCACTTACTTAAACACTGACAATGGGCAATGGGAAAGTGTCACCCACCACACCGAAGGGCCTACTGAGGGGGTTCAAGGCAGACTGTGTAGTAATCTGCCAACATTTCATTGCTATTCCCCACCCCTCAGCATCTACTGCAGCTAAAGGCTATGCAAAAATAGATTGACTGAGACCAAATCAAGTATTCAGATGCCTCTGTAACCATTATTGCAGATAACAACTTCTTGAGAGCCAGTGTGGTGTAGTGGTTAGGAGCGATAGACTCGTAATCTGGGGAACCGGGTTTGCGTCTCCGCTCCTCCACATGCAGCTGCTGGGTGACCTTGGGCTAGTCACACTTCTCTGAAGTCTCTCAGCCCCACTCACCTCACAGAGTGTTTGTTGTGGGGGAGGAAGGGAAAGGAGAATGTTAGCCGATCTGAGACTCCTTCGGGTAGTGATAAAGCGGGATATCAAATCCAAACTCTTCTAAAATGTAATTTGAAACATTGATCTCAAGGTGTCACATATTAGGAAAGGGAATGTTCAAACCAACCTTTAAGACAAATTGTTTACTGGATACCAGTCACGTAGGCATTAACAGATCTTATTGTTATCCATTATCCAGAAACCCAAGTTTACCTGAGCACATGACAGCAGCATCTTCCCTATGAACACAATTATGTATTCCCCAGCCTCTGTGGGAGCACTGACTCAAGCTGTCTTCATTCCCAGTGCAGCGGACATCATCCATAAGAATTGGACCTGTGCCTTCACCAAATGGCGCCTTTCCGAGTGCCGAGACAGCGTCTCCACAACCAAGCTTCCTGCACACAACTTGTGCGTGGGTCATGCCCCACAAATCGTCACAGACTGTCCCCCATCTTCCGTTGTGAAAGATTTCAACCCGCCCTTCACATGCATGTCTTCCATTGACTAGTTTCACAGCACCTTCTAGAAAGACAAAAGAGAAGGATTGTTTGCAATGGTTAGCTCTATATAAATTTTGCCACATGTGCTGCTCATTGGACAATTCCTCCATGGGAAGCCTATTCCATAATATATTCATGTTTAGAAGAAAGATTTAGGATTTTATTATAGAGAAGGTGAGGAACCTCTTACCTGTTGGAGCAGCAGTGGTCTGGACTGGTTCTTGAAAAGAAAGAAGAAGAGGAGTAAGTAGAATATACTTTCACTGGTATCAACATTGTAAATAGGACTGATGTGGTTTAAAATGTAGCAGTAGACGCTCCTTATCAAGAAAAGTAGATTAGATGAATGTCATGGGTGGTTCTTGTATTAAGAAGGGTGAAGAAAGTGGAATATAGCAATCCAATTTCTGCTTCAATTAGGGCAATGTTTTAGTTACCATCTTTAGTGGTATAATGTGAACAATATCTCTTTTAAGGTGTTTTTTACACAAATAAAACGGCAAATGGGTGACTACAAGTGGGAAGCACTGTAACTGCATTTAAGTGCCTATCAAACCAGTGATTGTACGTGTTACCCAACCAACAGCATTTTACATATCTGTTCAATATTATGCAGATAATATAATTCCTCAAGAATTATTTTGTATTAAATTCAATTTTGGTTATTATTAAAACAGTGTACTTTCAATCTAAACGGTCTTAAATGGTCATTGGCCCCTCCCAAGTGCTGTCCACATGTTTGGAACGAGTCTGCCGCAGTCAGCTTGGTGAACAAACACAGGCTGTCCTGGTTATTTGGAACAGTAATGGCTCAGGGTTTCAGCTCAGGGTTATAGCCTGAGCATGTTTGGCAAGCTGCCCTACTGCAGACACGCTCAGAGCATGTTGGCTCCTCTAGATCCATCTTTGCACCTCTGGCCCTCCAGGTGTTGCTGAACTACAACTCACACCATCCCTGGCTACTGGCCATGCTTGCTGGGGCTAATGGGAGTTGTAGTTCAGGAACATCTGGAGGGCCAAAGGTTCCTCACAATTGGTCTGTGTCAGGCTTCCTCAACCTCAGCCCTCCAGATGTTTTGAGACTACAATTCCTATCATCCCTGACCACTGGTCCTGCTAGCTGGGAGTTGTAGGCCAAAAACATCTGAAGGGCCAAGGTTGAGTAAGCCTGGTCTATGTCCATTAATTTTTAATGGAACTATCAACCTGCAATTGGAAAATACCTGCGCAGATGACACTAGCATCTTCACTGCGGAGGCAATTATGTACCCCCCAGCCTCTGTGAGAGCACTGGCCCAAGTGCCATTCCTTCCCAGTGCAGGAGACATCATCCAGGAGGATTGTGCCTGGACCAGGACCAAATCGAGCCTGTCCTGGTGCTGCAATAACAGGCCCACATCCAAGCTGCTTGCATACGACACTCGCATCATTTAAGTCCCACGCATCATCGCAGACCGTCCCCCACCTTCCATTGTGAAACACTTCAATCCGTCCTTCACATCTGTGTCTTCCATTGACTAGTTTCACAGATGCTCCTTAGAAAAAGAAGAGAGAAGCATGGGTTCACTACTGGTAGATAAAGAGGCCTAGTCACAATATCAGCATACAGAACAAATGTTGTTGCCCATCTGAACTGACATAACCATCCCATTTAATTTTGCTTTTCAGTTTTTTGGGGGTGAGTTGGGGGCAGTGCTTTTTTCTGGGGGGTGCAGGGGTACATATACCCCCTAAACATTTTGTGAATCTTTGTACTTTTGTCCATTTATTTTCCCTGATTTGAACTATAAAATGGTGATTTTTCTTGAATCAAAATGAGAGTACCCCTAAAGATTTTTTTAAATAGAAAAAACCACTGGTTTGGAGTGAGGGAGATCAGCAGAGAAGTGCCAGTTGAAGTGACTGCACAAACCACTGACATATTTATTAATGTGGTAACCAGAGGCATTCTGGCGATAGAGTAAAAACTGGAGGAAACCATATTTCACCCATACAATCCCCTCTGAGGGTGACAGAATGTCATCAAGTTCTGTTGCCCCCAGAGCAACCTGCTCTGTTGCATTCAAACAGTGTGGCGGCAAGGAGACCATGTGCTAGACACTCCAGGTTGTGGGCAGCTAGATAACTGGTTCTGGAACTTTTTTAAAAAGTCAACGAAAAAACAGTTAAATAGACAGAGGCAGCACTGCAGCTCATGGACCACCTTGCAAATAACTTTTGTTTTATTCCTTTTTATTTTTTTTACTTTCATATTTCTGATTTTTCAGAATGTCCCTTTAATGGACAGGAATGGGATGGGACAGACTTAATTCCATCTCCAAGCAGAACTGGGATGGACCTGGCTTTTAGAGGGTCATCCATCCCTAGCAACTGTAGGGATGGGTGGTAGCATCATTGAGAAAAGCACCCTTGAGTGAATCATGTGCAGCTGCCAGCACCTTTATTTCCAAAGAGGTAGCAGGGTGACATTGGGGGTACGGATGGTGCACGTGAGAGATGGCAACTCAAATCTGGTGCTGGCCATTCCTATACATTTATAAATCATTTTGCATTTGTGGGCTATGCATTGGTCAATTCCTCCACGAAAAGAACTATTCTACAAAGCCTGCATAGCCAAAGCTAACATTTAGTGTGATATATCATGAGGAAGCTGAGGGATCTCTTACCGTTTGAAAGTGTAGTTTCCTTGCTAATTGCAGGTCCTTGAAAAACCCCCCCCCAAAAGATGGAGAAGGAAAAAAAAAAGAAAGTAAGAGAATTATTGTGAGGAACACAGTTTTCCTGAAGTAATTTTTAGTGTAGTAAAAACAGAGTCAGTTGTCAGTTATGTAGTTTAGTATGCAGTAATAGTTACTCGGTTTAGTACAGAAGGAATCAACGGTTAAAACAGACTTATACATACAGAATTATAGATGCATTTAATAGATTTAAATGCCAGTTTGAATCTAGTAAAAACTAGAATTTAGGATTATATTATAGAGAAGATGAAATGTCCCTTACTTGGAGTAGGAGTGCTCACAGTTGGTACTTGAAAAGAAAGAGAAAAAGTGGAATAGCAGAGTAAATAGAACTTCAATGAAATCAAAATTGTACATGGAACATAAAATGTAACAGAATATGCTTCTTATCAGTGACGACCAGTCCTGTTTTGCCACCTGTGGCAAAACCAGAATGTGCCGCCTCTTGCCCCTCTGTTGTCCTGCCCTGCCTGCCCCCCACTTCCACCACCACCAGAACCCCCCCCCCACTAGATGAGATCAAGAAACTTTCCACAAGGCCCTGGCACTCATCTTCTCTGCCCCAGTGGCAGGGAAGAGAAGCAGCAATACTGCACAGCAGAAAACACCCCTCTCGCCAAAGCCTGGCAACAGAGGAATGTTCTGGCAGAAGTGGTGTTGTGAACCGGGTACCGCCTCTTGCACTTCCGCTGGTGGAAGCAGTTGCTTCACGTCGCCTAATAGGTGGGCCAGCTCTGCTCTTTATAAGGAAGTGACTACTGTGAGTGCTTTGGTTCTTTTGTTTTGGTTCTTAGTCATAAAGCCTTAGCCTACTGGCTTGGACATCATGCCAGCCCTGTATGGCATAACATCAGTGTTTATTATTATTATGAAGACTTTGCAATTTGTGGCATTTTGGGTCGTGTCCCCAACAAAGAGTGTGCCCTGCTGTGTATTTCGAAAGTTTTCCAATGGACCAAGTCAGTTTTCTCTGCCTGGTGTGTCTTCTGGAGAAACCCACAAAACATCATTTGAAATATTGATCACAAGAAATTTGATATTAGAATAGGGAATGTTCTTTACAGTTGCTTTCTTGCATGAAGCCAGCAAAGGCAGACAATGCATGAAACAAAGGTAATTCCCCAACATCAGTCACTTTCGACACAATCCTATACATGCCTACTCAGATATAAGCCCCATGGACTTCAATTAGACTTACTCCCAGATAAGTGGATATTGGACTGAAATTTTATATACATTTTCACTAACCAGGTGCTGACCAGATGTTTTGGATTATAATTACCATCATACCTAACCATTGAACATGCTGGCTGGGGCTGACAGAAGTTGTAACCCAAGATACGTGGAGGCTGGCAAAGGCTTTGAAGCCCTAAACGGCCTCGGTTCAGTATACCTGAAGGAGCGTCTCCACCCCCATTGTTCCACCCGGACACTGATGGTTCCCTCGCTGCGAGAAGCCAAGTTACAGGGAACCAGGCAGAGGGCCTTCTTGGTAGTGGCACCCGCCCTGTGGAACACCCTCCCACCAGATGTCAAAGAGAAAAACAACTTTTGTTGGAAGCCACCCAGAGTGGCTGGGGAAACCCAGCCAGATGGGTGGGACATAAATAGATTATTATTATTATTATTATTATTATTATTATTATTATTATTATTATTATATCATGCTGCAATCAAAAAGTACCTGAGCAAATGACACCAGCATCTTCTCTATGGAGACAATTGTGCAATCCCCAGCCTCTGTGGGAACAGTGTCCCAAGCTGATTTCATTCCCAGTGCACCTGACATCATCCATAAGAATTGGCCCTGAGCCTTCATTAAACAGAGCATTAGCTGTTGCTGAGCGAGCGGGCCCACATTTCTGCTGCCTGCACACAACACTTGCATCGCTTAAGTCCCACTCGTCGTCGCAGATTGTCCCCCAAATTCCATTGTGAAGTACTTCAACCCGTCCCTCACATCGGTTCCTTCCGTTGACTAGTCTCACGGTGCCATCTTAGAAAGACAAAAGAGAAGCATTAGTTGCCCCCCACTGGCAGATCAAACACTATGTAATAGACATATATATAATCTGCATTTACTTATTTACCAATTCCTTCATAATAAACGTATTCTACAATACTGTATATCCAGAACTCAGATTTACTATGATGTCTCGGAGAAGAGGAAACAGCTTATATCAAATGAAGGAGTAGTTTTCTTTGCAAGGCTGGTTTTTTGACAACAGCCCATAGATTCCCTAACCCAATCTATGGTACTGATCATGCTTGACCTGTCAGTCCAAGAAAATCTGGAAGGTCCAGGTTGGCCACTGCTGCGTTACAAAATCAGGCACTGCCAAATGTAAACAAGTTGACTAGGTTGTCCGTCTGATGTGTTAAAACTATTTCTTTAAAAGTTTCACAAATGCATACAAATGCATACTCGCTGCAGGACAACGACGACTGAGGAGGAGGCGGAGCTGGAGCCGCAGCATTAAGCTGCTAAACACGCCCCCCGGAGACACCTGGTTGGCTGCCTCCGGTGGGCGTAGGCGCCAGCCAGGTGAGGAGGGACGGGGGCTAAGGCCCCCAGCCAGGGGCGGAGCTCGGGCTCCCGCCCACAACCACTCCCCTCTCTTCCAGGGAGGAGAGTCTTTCTTTAAAAGTTTCACAAATGCATACAAGATGAAAAAAACGTACCTGGCAAAGCAGGATGGTTAGCTAGAAACAGCAAAAGAAGAGGGGGAAAGGACCAAATCAAAAACTACTTTCTTTGAAGAAATTATTTCCAATAGCAGGACTGAAAACTACTAAGGCTGCAGTCCTATACCCATCTGCCTATAGCGAGCCTCCTTGAATTCAGGAGGACTTACTTCTGAGTGGATAGGTGTAGGATTGCACAGTTATTAAATTGAATTATGCTGAGATAAATTTCTAGCTGAAGGCTTACCAGAAGTAGTGGATGCCTTGGTGCTAGGCTGAGGTGCAGGAGTGGTACTCAGAGGTGTCAATGCTAGTTGAAAGAAAACAGTGAATTACAGTTACCCAGGTCATATGCTCCCTCAGTCTTTATATCCATACAGCTAATATTTGAAATAGAAAACCATCTATTCAATAGTTCCAAAGGCTAACTATTTAAAACAAAAGGAAAAGGAAAAAAGGATACAAGAAAAAAACCTTATATATTTAATACAATGTTAGTTTCTAGCAAAGAAAAAAAAAAGCTTTATGGCGTAATCCTATACAAGAGTTCAGTGAGATGTAGTTATACACTATACCTTTAAAGTACCGTATTTTTCGCTCTATAAGATGCACGGTACCCTTCCTAAAAAGTAAGGGGAAATGTGTGTGCGTCTTATGGGATAGCCGCCCGAAGCCTCCGGAGCGCAGCGGGAGCTCCCGCTGTGCTCTGGAGGCTTCGCGTTGCTTTCGCTGAAGGCAGGAGAGCAAGAGGGATCGGTGCGCACTGATCCCTCTTGCTCTCCTGGCTTCACTTCGCTGGAGAGGCGCTGCACAGCTTTCCCTCTCTGAGCAGCGCCCCTTCAGTGAAGCGGGAGGAGAAATGGAAGGGGCTCCATTTCTCCTGCCGCTTCGCTGAAGGGGCGCTGCGCAGAGAGGAAGAGAATATATTTTTTTCCTTTTTCTCCTCCTCTAAAACTAGGCGCATCTTATGGTCGGGTGCGTCTTATAGAGCGAAAAATACGGTATATTCTTTTCATCTGGCAATTCTAGGCACTATAATTCACCCCACACAGAGTTACAATTCCCAGTAACCCTTAAGAAATTATAGTGCCCAGAATTATTTGAGAGAAAGAATGAGTTCTGAATGTGCTTTAAATGTATAGGGTGTACAGTCATACTCTCTGCTAAGTGGTTATATAGGTTTACAGTGCAATCCTGAACATGCTTGATAGTGAATTGAAAAAAACTTTGGACTCAGCTACATTACGTTTTTGTGCTTTTTAAAAGCATGCTTTAAATGTATTATAACACTGTGACACCAGATGGTGCTGTAGAGTTCTGTTTTTTGGCAATGTGATTTCCCATTATGAGGTTTACAATGCGTTTTCCTGAAACATTTTTTTGATGTGTCTGGATCCAGCCTTACTTCTAGGTAAAAATACTTTGGAAGGCACTGTTAATTACCAATCATGAAGACCCTCTAATATTATATATTTACTACAGTTCCTATGCTTATTCACTTAAAATGATGAATTATTATATGACTGGGAAAAGATTTAATTTCTAATCCAACAACATCTGGAGGCCAGCACATTGACTCTATCTGGATCACAGCCTATTAATGGAATGTGCTATAATTATAAAATACCTGGTGCCTTTGTTGTTGTATTTCTTGCTGGAGCTGAGTAAAGAATTATAATAGTATCATAGATAAAAACAAACAACAAAAAGGAAATACAGACACACTTGTGGCTTCCACAGCCTGTTAGGGACTAATCTTGTTTCATCCATACTTTTGTATGACTCCAGAAACAAAAAATCAATAGCATTTTATTGGTCTCTAGAGAATTCTTCTGTTTCCTTTTCAGGTTTTGACTACTGGTATTTACCAACATAGCAAAATATTGTGAACTCAACTAGGTTTTGCTTTGTGAAAAACACGCATAACAAGAAGGGATTTTGTACTTGGATGTCAACTTTAAGATGTATGAGTTCTATTAAAATAGCTTACTGTGACATTATTTGTGTGTACCATTCAGAGAGAACTGCTTCACTGGTGTGCTGATACATGATAATTCATGCTATCTATACCCATCGGAGTAAAAACCTCAGTGAGACTTACTTCTGAGTAAACGTGCAAAGGCATTGCACTGTAGAAAAGGTTCTTTCATAGTGCTAGGAAGATGGAACTTGTCCCATCAAACCCTAGTAGTGCTAATGTTCACATTCAGTTGGCAGAGGGAAGGGACCAATTGGGCAGAGATTCAGCTTCTGAGAAAATGCACCGCCAATATATTTTCTGTGGGGGCATAGGTCTCCCAAATCCCAGGTTTCTTAAAACCCATTTTCATGAAAACATGATATTAGGTTGGGACTACAACCCCACTGAATCTAAAGGTTTGGGAATTCCAGTTCCTATAATATCTAGCCCTGTTCAGAAGAATGGGCCATACATTTGGTCAATCTCCAAGTGTGGAACACGGCCAGGCCAATTAGATTTGCCCCCAACATTGCTCACTCTGAGCCGCTCCTTTTCCTATAATCTACACATACAGTGTGAACATCTGCAGAACGGGGAGCCTTTACTCCTACTGTGCCATGCTTCTTATGTATAAGTTTTATGTGTGGATGCCAGGGGATGGGTCTTCTTGGGGTGTGCAACATCCAGGGATGGTCTGGTTGTGTGGCCTTCCTCATGCACTGATAAAACGAATGAGCAATTCTTCTGTAAAGGGGTTCTCAATTCCATGGAGATGGTCTTATATGCAAAAGAACAGTATTTAAAACAACAACAAATCATAATGCTCCCAGTTTTCAATTAATACTCACTACTTATAATGGGGCTCCCTGTAGTATGGGAAACATTTCCTAAAACAAGAAAAGAAAGAATGAAAAAAATATATATGAATTTATACTGCAGAGAGGTCCCTTGCAAATATTATTACAAATAATGAATACTGCATAATATGTAATGTGTGAAAACCAATAGAAATGTACATTACCAGAGCAAATGACACTTGCATCTTCCTTATGTTTGCAGTCATGGACTCCCCATCCCTTATGGGAGCATTTCTCAAGAGAAAATTCATTCCCTTCGCACTGTACTGCATCCAGGAGGATACTGCCAGTGCCTTGCTCAAAGTGGGCACTTAGTGGAGCTGAAATGGCTTCTCCACAACCAAGTTCTTTGCACACAACCTGAGCATCCTTCATGTCCCAATCATCATCACAGACTGTTCCCCAGCTCCCATCATGGTAGACTTCAACACGACCCTGACAGCTGTTCTCTCCATTCACCAGTCTTAGGGAGAAAGGATTTGCTGTTGTTCCCGAAGAAGAATCATCTGCAAAAGTTGAGGAAAAATGCAACTTTTTCTAATATATAATACTGACAAGTGTAATTTTTTGTTGTTGTTATAATCTCACATTAGTTCTTACCAGTTGTAATGCTCTGTCCTGTAGACTGTGGTGGTGGAGTTCCTAATTTAAATATATACAAGATAGAAAACTAAATGTTTAAATCTTTGTCTACATATTTATTTTAGTGCTGTTGACTACTGCAGTCAAATTGCAGTCAAACATAACTAATGCATGAGTGCTAGTTAATGCATGAAGGTGTTCCTAGACTCAGTTAGGTCAAAGGAGCATGTGAAGCTTCTTATCTTCCTTTCTCTCACTATTTTCTCGCCATGTAATATACCAGAACGGACATGTCTGAACTTGCTCAAAGTTCAGACTACATGTTTGAAACTATAGTGTGTATTTTGTACCCAAGTGTAATCTACCTGTGTTCTCTTTGCTGCTGCATGGAACAGTGCATGAATTAGACTTTTGGATTTAGTAAGGAAAGCTTTTAAACGTACTCAATAGCATGCTAGAGAGAAGGGGCAAGCATTTTAAGGCTCACTAAAAGGGATATGCAAAAGAGTTTAACAACCTATATTCCATGCTATGCTGCTGGTTAACTCTGAGAACATTTTGAACTCTGCTGGGGGTTCTCTTCTGCTGGAGGATGTGCACAGTCCTGCCTTTTGAACCTCAGTGCCCAGTTCATTTTTTTTTTAAATTACAGTGGTACCTGGGTATACGAACTTAATCTGTTCCTGAAGTCCGTTCTTAAACCAAATTCATTCTTAAACCGAGGCACGCTTTCCCTAATAAGGCCTCCTGCCGCTGGTGCCCTTCCACTGTTCAGCTTCCATTCATAGACTGAGGTAAAGTTTGCAAACCGGAACACTACTTCCGGTTTTGCGGGGTTTGTAAACCAAATAGTTTGTAAACAAGATTATTCGTAAACCGAGGTACCACTGTACTCACAAGTGGATCAGATCTACTTTCCACCTTCACAGAATATACAGTGAAGACTTGAAAAGTTATCACTTCAGGGTTGTTTGCAATAACTATTTGGTGTTTGCATTTTTAACCTCAGGCTTGTGTTATTAACTGCTTCTTTTTGATGTCTTCAGATGTAACATGCTTGTGTTCTCTGTTGCCTCCCACTTACAACAAAAATTCCCTTCCATTCTCAGTTTGTGTTTCCATTAGAATTCACAAACCACCATTTGTTCCTAGTTTGCACCACTGATTTGGGTGCAGCCAAGGAAAATTAAATTTGTGCAACAACACCTGATTCAGCTCTGTCCTCCACCCTTGCAACAATTTCCTGCAGAATTTCACCAACCAAATAGCAGGAGGGACTGCTGTTAATACATACCAGATGTAATGGGTGCCTCTGTGGTGGCTGGAGGTCCTGAAAATGGAAAGAAGGATGCAAAAGAGAAAAATGAAACTTATTTAAATACTCGATGAGAAAAACTTAAAGTTATATGGGTCCTAATTACAACATCTTAGCAGATAGCTATCGGAGAAATATAATGTTTATAAATTGATTTATTCTGATTGTGCTAGCCTAAATCCTAGAATGAGTTCCAGATTGAGCCAGGGAACCTGACAAGCAGGTTCAGTTTCCAAAGTTCTCACTTCCTGTCTTTAAAATATGGAATCTGCACTTTCCCCTTGTGGTATTTTTTAGATTTGGAAGATGTCAGGAAGTGATCCCCTTTTGCTTAGCACTCTGGCCTCAATCTCATCCATCACAATAATGGAACATCAGGTCATCTAATGAAAGTGATTTGCGGAAGATTCAAAATGGACCGGAGATACTCCTTCTTCCCACTACCTGTTATGAAACCAGATGACTTGCTACCAAAACATATGCCCTGATGCTAATTGCTATTGAATATGATTCTAAAGGGGAAAAGTAAATTACCGTATTTTTTGCTGTATAAGACTCACTTTTTTCCTCCTAAAAAGTAAGGGGAAATGTGTGTGCGTCTTATGGAGCGAATGCAGGCTGCACAGCTATCCCAGAAGCCAGAACAGCAAGAGGGATTGCTGCTTTCACTGCACAGCGATCCCTCTTGCTGTTCTGGCTTCTGAGATTCAGAATATTTTTTTTCTTGTTTTCCTCCTCCAAAAATTAGGTGCGCCTTGTGCTCTGGTGCGTCTTATAGAGCGAAAAATACGGTGGATGAATTCCAGTTCCAGATATCCTTGGAATAGCACTTACTAGCAGGCGATGGCTCCAAAGACATAGAGCACCTGTCACTTGCAGTATATTCCAACGGAGTTCCAAGACTTGTTGTGTTATGAGCTTGAGTATGCCCACATACAGTATGTCTTTAGATTCTAGCCTATGTCTTTATTATTGAAATTAGGTCAATGGCTGCGCAGTCTTCAAATAAATGTATCATTAGATGCAACCCCCCTGCCTTCAGAAGCTCCAGCACCACTTATGAAATGAAAGAATATTCTCTGTGGTGGATGGAAGGATTTTTAATTTAAAAAACAGAAATGAAAAAGTATAATTATATCCTTGCAACACAGGCAGAATATATATATTTGGAAATATCTAGAAGAGATGCTACAAACACATATGGAAAATCATTGGAGGCACCTGAGCAGATAACACTGGCATCTTCCTTATGTTTGCAGTCATGGACTCCCCATCCATTATGAGAACAGTCCTCAAAAGAAGATTCATTTCCTTTGCATTGTACAGCATTCAGGAGGATGCTGCCAGAGCCTTTGCCAAAGTAGGCACTTAGCAGGGCTGCAGTGGCTTCTCCACAACCAAGTTGTTGGCACACAACCTGAGCATCTTTCAAGTCCCAATCATCATCACAGACAGTTCCCCAGGTCCCATCATGGTGGACTTCAAGGCGACCCTGACAGCTGTTCTCTCCGTTCACCAGTCTTAGGGAGAAAGGGCTTGCTGACGTTCCTGATGGTGCATTCTCTGCAAAAATTGATGAAGAATGTTACAGGACTATTTCTCATTCAGTAATATATAATAATAACATTTGTGGAAAAATGCTAAAACTCCACATTAATACTCACCAGTTGTCACCCTCTGTTCTGTAGATTGTGGAGGTGGAGTTCCTAAATTAAAAAGAAACCAGATGCAATACGAAATATATTAAATCTTGTCCACATATAATGCCATTTGGTTTAAATATCTAATGAAGATTTTATAAATTATCTCCTCAGGGTTGTTTGCAAACTGGCCTATATATCTTTAACCTCTTCTCTGTGTTGTAAATATGTCACTGTGTTGTCTCCAGATGTAACATGCATATATTTGACCTCCTCTGGATACATAGAACAAGCAAAAAAGTCATTTCTCAGTTTGCAGTTTCATCAGAACTCAAAAACACAATCTGTTCCTGGTTTGCAAACCGTTTTCAGGGCAGATTATGTTTTGCCCACTCCACCGTTTATTGGATTTGGATATAATGGAAAACTATGGTTTGGTGCAAATTTAGAAGCTCCTTATGTAGTGGGCTAACGAATGAAAAAGCTGAAGGCTCATAGCTGCTGATGCCCATAATGTTGATTCATGATTTGTCATTATGTTTCAGTTCAGATTGTGCATATATGAAGAGTAACTCTGACTTTCATTTACCTCTAGATACCAGATTACTATGAAAGAAGTCTGGCTAAAGAGTCTTCGAATTTCCCAATAGCTCTCTTTTAAAATAAATCCATTCTATGGAAGTGCACACTCCTCTTTTTGCTGCCCCATGATACATAAAAACCAGGGATATAATGTACACCATGTTATTTTCTCTGAAGACGGCTGTGCCCTGAATCTATTTCTCTTTATATACTAAACAGCTGCAGGAGACAGCTTAAGGGAGGTTGGGCATTGGGCAACCAGGGTGAATGGGGGGAAACTGCAAAAGGTGCTACTGCTATCACACTCAAGCTCTCTCCTTTCTCACCTATGCTAAGAGCCATTCCAGAAGAATTATGTCAAACAGTCGCAGCAGGGAAAACTAATCTGTTGGTTTGTCCTCCCCCCTTTTTTATAAAACATGATAAAGTCAAAAAATACATACCAGATGTAATGGGTATTTCTGTGGTGGCAAGGGGTCCTGGAAATAGAAGGAAGCACAGCATAAAAATAATGCCCATTTAAACACCAGAAAGGACGAACTCATTGTTACTGGATTTTGTTCTTAATTATGGCACCTCATCAAGCAGATATTAGAGAAATTTAATGTTTAGAACCTTATCTGCATTGTTCACTCTACTATAAGTGCTAAACTGATTGAGCGAGGGAGCCTGCATTTTAACTTGCCAATTTAGTTTCTAGTTTTCTTATTTCCTGTTGTGGAACCTTCACCAAAATGTATGGATATGTGTCCATTTTCATTACATGACAAATCTTTGCTTTGTGCTTTACTGTACACTGGGAAAATGGCAAGAATTATGCCCATTTCACTCAGTACTATGGCTCCACACCTATTCCTCACTATTCTGGAATACCAGACCATGCAATGAAAGTGAAAAATAGACTTATAATAGATCCAAAGCAAATATTCTCCTCGCCACCTGGGATGAAATTAGAAGTTCTTCTATCATGGGATGTGCAATGCTGCTGACAGCTATTGACTATATCCCTAATGGAGAAATCTAAATTAAATGAGTTCCAAGTGAATTGGTTTGTCCATGTATATTAGCTATCATCAAATCCATTATGTTCCTCAATACTATTCATTAAAAGTTGATAGGATCCAAAGGGTTTGAGTTTTTGGACTCTTGCAGGTTCTTCAAGTCCTTGAAGTCCTCTGACCTCATGCATTTAAGCATTTCTGCATGTCTCTTTAGCTTTTAAACTATATATTTATTATTGAAATTAGATCAATCAATGTACAATGTACAAATGCATAAGCAGATGCAAAAACAAACAAATGCGCAGGAATAATTCCAACGTGACTTATCATATGAAAAAGTGATTCCCTGCACTGGATGGAAGAATTTCTAATTAAAAAGAGAGAAAAGAGGAAGTCGATTCATGGATTTGCAATAGGCACAAAAGATTTGCAAATGCAGACCTAGAGGTTAGCACATATGGAAAATAGTTTGAGGTACCTGAACAGATGACGCTGGCATCTTCCTTATGCTTGCAGTCATGGACCCCCCATCCCTTATGGGGGCAGTCCTTAAGAGAAGATTCATTCCCACTGCACTGTACAGCATCCAGAAGGATGCTGCCGGAGCCTTGACCAAATTCGGCACCTGTTGGAGCTGAAATGACTTCTCCACAACCAACTTCTTTGCAGACAATGCGAGCATCATTAATGTCCCATTCATCATCACAGACGGTCCCCCACTCCCCATTATGATAGACTTCAACACGACCCTGACAGCTGTTCTCTCCATTCACCAGTCTTAGGGAGAAAGGATTTGCTGATGTTCCTAATGGTGCATTCTCTGCAAAAGTTGATGAAGAATGTGACAAGACTGTTTCCCATTCAGTAATATATAATAATAACATTTGTGGGAAAATGCTAAAATTCCACATTAATACTCACCAGTTGTCACCCTCTGTTCTGTAGATTGTGGAGGTGGAGTTCCTAAATTAAAAAGAAACCAGATGCAATAAACAAATATTATAAACCTTGTCTCCATATCATATCACTTTTAAATATGTAGTTAAAGTTTTGGACCCTACCGCTTCAGAATTGTTTGTAAGTGCAAACTCGCCTGTACACCTGTAACTTCACCCTTGTTTTAGTTAAAAAGATAGCTCTGCTGTGAATCTCTTTCTTTCTAAAACAATACAGTGGTACCTCGGTTTTTGAAAAAGCTTAGTTTCCGAACAACTTGGAACTCGAATGCTGCAATCCCCGAAGTCCTTGTTCCGGTTTGCGAACTTTGCTTTGGAAGCTGGCTGTGCACCTGAGCTTCCAGTTTCACTGTTGTGCTGCTAATTTCTGCCCCCCCAACTGTAATCAAAACCCTTTCCCTCCTGTTTTTAGTGTTGCTCTGCTAATTTGACCCCCCCCCCCATTGTAACCAAAGCCTTCCATTTCCGATTGCAGTGTTCTGAGGTGATATTTGGTGCTTTTTTTTGTTTTTTTGCTTGTGTGGCTTTTTTGTTTTTGTGACTGTGGCTTGTTCTTCGTATTATGATTTGATTGATTGATTGATTGATTGATTGTGTGACTGCGGAAATGGATAAAAGCCCCCCATCCAAACAATAACTATCATCAGTGCAGGGAAGAATTTTTTTAATTTTTTTTTTTATCATCTACGGTACTGTCTTATTTATTTTATAGTACAGTACATTGATTATTGCTTTCATTTTATGAACCAATGGTCTCATTAGATGGTAAAATTCATGTTAAATTGCTGTTTTAGGGGTTGTTTTTAAAAGTCTGGAACGGATTAATTCATTTTGCATTACTTTCTATGGCTAAGCGTGCCTTGGTTTTGGAATGCTTTGGTTTTGGAAAAGACTTCTGGAACAGATTAAATTTGAGATCCAAGGTACCACTGTATACAACGTAGCTTGAAGAGAGAGCTAAAGGAGGTCTAGATATTGGGTAGACAGATTAATTGACCAATGAAAAAGTGAATTGTGTGCAAGCAGAGAATCTGAAATTAGTGGTACTGTATTGCCATTTGACTGGTTCCTCATTTCTGCTGCACAGTGAGGACCATTCCAGCGGAATTATGCAAGCAATGGCAGCAAGGAGCACCAATATGTTTTGTTTTGTTTTTAAAGTCAAGTGTAATTGACTTTAAAAATGAATTTTTTAAACAAAGTGAATACATACCAGATGTAATGGATGTTTCAGTGGTGGTGATGGGTCCTAAAATGAAAAGAAAAAGCACAGAATAGACAATATAACTTCAATGTGTTCAATGCAGATGTAGAAGAGATGCTTTAGAAATAAGTATATATAGAGAATAACTAGATGTACCTGAGCAGATAACACTGGCATCTTCCTTATGTTTGCAATCATGGACTCCCCATCCATTATGAGAACAGTCCTCAAAAGAAGATTCATTCCCTTCACAATGTACTGCATTCAGGAGGATGCTGCCAGAACCTTGCTCAAAGTGGGCACTTAGTGGGGCTGCAGTGGCTTCTCCGCAACCAAGTTGCTGGCACACAACCTGAGCATCCTTCAAGTCCCAATCGTCATCACAGACAGTTCCCCAGGTCCCTTCATGGTAGACTTCTAGGCGACCCTGACAGCTGTTCTCTCCATTCACCAGTCTTAGGGAGAAAGGACTTGCTGATGTTCCCGATGGAGCATTCTCTGCAGAGGTTGATGAGGAATGTGAGATTATTTATTGTTTATAGATAACATTGACAATCATAAAAAGTTAAAATGCCACATTAATACTTGCCAGTTGTAACGCTTTTTTCAGTAGACTGTGGTGGTGGACTTCCTAATTTAAAAAGAAACAAACCAGATACAGTGCCAAATATTTCAAACCTTTTCTCCATATCATATCACTTTTAAATAAAAAGGTAAAGGTAAAGGTACCCCTGCCCGTACGGGCCAGTCTTGCCAGACTCTAGGGTTGTGCGCCCATCTCACTCTATAGGCCGGGGGCCAGCGCTGTCCGCAGACACTTCCGGGTCACGTGGCCAGCGTGACAAGCTACATCTGGTGAGCCAGCGCAGCACATGGAACGCCGTTTACCTTCCCGCTAGTAAGCGGTCCCTATTTATCTACTTGCACCCGGGGGTGCTTTTGAACTGCTAGGTTGGCAGGCGCTGGGACCAAGCAGCGGGAGCGCACCCCGCCGTGGGGATTCGAATTGCCGACCTTTCGATCGACAAGTCCTAGGCGCTGAGGCTTTAACCCACAGCGCCACCCGCGTCCCGCCTCACTTTTAAATATCTAATTATAAATATCTACCCTTCAGGGTTGTTTGTGATGACAAACTACCCTATACACATTTAACCTTACTCCTATGTTATTTTTTAAAAAAATGCTCGATAAAGAAAATAAAACAGCTATATACAAGTACTGATAGTATTACAAGTAGAAAACAGTGTACGACTGAACATTATCATTAAACTTATTATTCCAAATTCTCATCCAACAGATCACAGAGTTGTCCTCAGGTATAGCATGCTTACATTTAATCTAGTCACCTCACGTAGAACAAACATAAATGTCATTTCTCGGTTTCTGGATTTATAAAAACTCAAATACCCTGCTTGGCTCCTGGCTTGCAGATGCAACTTAAGAGCAAATTACCTTCTGTCTCCTGCATAGTTTGCTGGATTTGCAAATAAGAGAAAACTGCTTTGCTGCAAATTCAGAAGCTACATATAGCACAGAGAAGAGAATGCAGAAACTTAATGCTCATGCCTATTATGCCCATAATTCTGTGTCATAGTTTATAATTTTGGATGTGTACAGAACATACATTTAAAGTACACACATACCACAAGTATCCTTGGAAGTATTGTTTGTTAAGGGTGCTGGGAATTGTAGCTCTGTGAGCAGTATATTACAGCCCCCAGGATTCTTTCAGGCAAAATGATCTTTAAATATATAGTCTATATTTACCACCTTATATCTTAGCCTATATCTCAGCGCAGTCTGTGTGTATTTGAAGAGTAACTCAAATTTCATAAATCTTTACAAACCATATATGGCAGACCTTCCAGTGTCTTTGAATTTTCCATGAAATTAATTTATCCTAAGGCAGTGCAGATTCCGCTGCTTATTATTTTAACTGACAATAAGGGATATACATTGAATCTTTCTACACACACACACACACACACACACACACAGAGAGAGAGAGAGAGAGAGAGAGAGAGAGAGAGAGAGAGAGAGAAGCCAGTGGAAAAAGCCAAAGGAAAGTTATGCCATCTGATTGGTCCATCACTTCTGCAGTACACTAAGGGCTATTCCAGCAGAATTATGCCAAGCAGTGGCAGCAGGACTGGAAATCTGTTTCTTTTTAAAGGCAAGCTAAATCTAGCACATACATACCTGATGTAATGGGTATTTCTGTGGTGGTGAGGGGTCCTAAAAATAGAAAGAAGAAAGCACAGCATAAAGAGAAAGCCTATTTAAATACCAGAAGACAGGATCTCATAGCTGTATGGTTTTTAGTTATGGCACCTCAGTGAGGAGCTACCAGAGAGATGTAATGTTTAGAAATGATGACTTACCCACCTTTTTTGGGGGGGGGTGATGGTTGCGGTCCAGTACAGCACCACAGTGTGTGGGGTTGGGAGTTGGACTAGATGACTTTTGGGGTCCCTTCCAACTATCATTATACTGCCTGCCCCCATATCCACTGCAGCTACACTGCGTGTTGGCCTGCAAACCTATGTGCATGTTCCTTCCAACACGCCCCCCCCCGGGGAAAATTTTGCTTTGTGCCTTGATTTTTATTACAGAGATGGCAGGCCCTTTCACTATGATCCCAGCTTGAGCATGCCCATATATCTCTTTAGATTGCAGCCTGTACATTTATTATTATTATTATTATTATTATTATTATTATTATTATTAGTTTGATGTGTGTGCATTCTTCAAATAAATGCGTAACCAGATGTAAAGAATTGTCAGAAAAAGTTCAGCATCGCTTATTAGATGAAATAAGATTTACTGAAGTCAATAGATGATACTTCAGGGTGGGGGTGGGGAGTCAAATCATGTCCTTTATATATAGACAGAGTAACTATTATGTTTGCAAATACAGAGCTAGACAAGAAGTGTATGTGTATACAGAAAATAAATTGAGGTACCTGAGCAAATAACGCTGGCATCTTCCTTATGTTTGCAGTCATGAACTCCCCATCCATTATGGGAGCAGTACTCAAAAGAAGATTCATTTCCTTCGCAATGTACTTCATTCAGGAGGATGCTGCCAGAGCCGTGGCCAAAGTGGGCATTTGTGAGAGCTGCAATGGCTTCTCCGCAACCAAGTTGTTGGCACACAACCTGAGCATCCTTCAAGTCCCAACCGTCATCACAGACTGTTCCCCAGGTCCCATCATGGTGGACTTCAAGGCGACCCTGACAGCTGTTCTCTCCATTCACCAGTCTTAGGGAGAAAGGGCTTGCTGATGTTTCTGATGGTGAAATCTCTGCAAAAGGTGATGAAGAATTTTACAAGACTATTCTTAGTTCAGTTATATATAATATTGACAATTGTAAAAAAACAGCAACACCCAAAACTAAAAGCTCGTATCCATACTTACCAGTTGTAACACTCTGTTCTGTAGATTGTGGTGGTGGAGTTCCTAATTTAAAAAGAAACAGATACAATGCCAAATATTATAAACCTTGTCTCCATATCATATCACTTTTAAATAATCTAATTAATGTTTTAATGACACCCAACTGTTCTCTCCTTTCTGTCCCATGCTGAGGGTCAGTCCAGCAGAATTATACAAAGGAATGGCAGCAAAGAGTGCAAATTTGCTGCTTAAAAAACAAGATGAATTCAAGTAAATACATACCAGATGTAATGGGTGTTTCTGTGGTAGTTAGAGGTCCTAAAAAATGAAAGAAGGAAGAACAATATAAAATGAAATACTGTTTGAACACCAGAAGAGAGAAATGTATAATTCTATGGTTCTTAATTATGGCACCTAAGCCAGCAGCTATCAGATAAATTTAATGTCTAGAACTTCATTTGTATTTGGGGTTGTACTCAACAAAGCACTACATAACTCCTACCACAAGTGGAACAACTTCTGCTTGTGCAATGGAAATTTCTTCTCCTGCTCCCACTGTCCACCCCCTAAATCTGTTAGGGGGGTTTCTCCAACCACCAAGAGAAGGTTTGGTAAATGATGGCACCTCTGGAGGAAGCTATCGGAGTAAGTTGATGTTTAGAACTCACATTGCTGATGTCCTAGATTGAATTCCAGACTGAGCTAAGGAACAATTTTCACTTGCAGATTTAGCTTCCAAATTTTATACTTCCTGTTGTTGTTGTTATAAAAAATATGGACTCTGCACTTAACCTATGTGTATGTTTATGTTCCTTTCATCACCCATAAGGTAAACCTTTGCTTTGTGCCATATTACCATACTGAAGAAATGACAGCAAGTGAACCCCTTTCACACATTATGGTCCCAGTATAATTCCTCATTATACTGGGACATCAGATCATTTAGTGAATGTGATAAGCAGTACATTCAGGAAAGACCAGATACATTACTTATCTCCACCATCTGAAATGAGCTCAGGTGACTTTCTGCCACAGGATGTGCACTGCTGCTGACAGTTCTTGATTATGGTTCTAAGGCATAAGGGTGAATCCAAGTGAATCATTCTATCAGTGGCTACTAGGCAAATTACCTGAATGGAGCCTATACCATCATATCCTAGGGTTGCCATATTTCAAGAGGTAAAAATCCAGATACAAAAAGTTGGTGAGGTTTTTTTTAGGGCAATTGCCTGATAGCCCCTCCATCGCTCTGCCACCACTAAGCCCGAGCTGCCCATGCCTGAGCCGTAGCCAGAACCTGGGCCACCCAGGCAAGAGCCTGAGCCTGAACCAGGGCTGCCTCTGCACAAAAAAACTAAACCAAATCCAGGACATTTGCTTTAAAATGTAAAATTCCCCACAGATGAGCATGTGGGACACCCGAAAGAGGACATGTCTGGGAATTCCCGGATTTATGGCAACCCTATAAAATCCAGTGTGTCACTGAATACTAGTTACCAGCATTTTATGATGCCAAATAAGAATTTCTCTCCCCTCTCAGAATATTCTAATAAGTGCTCAAAGTCTTGTGATCTCATGTGCTTGAGTATGCCCATATCTCTCTTTCGATTCTAGCCTATCCATTCATTATTGACATTAGTTCAATGGGTGTGCAGACCGCATATAGATTCATAATGTGTTGCAAAAAAGGAAACTTGCACAGAAAAACTCCAACAACCTTTATAAACATGAAAGAAGATTCCCAGAAGTGCACTGAAGAGAGCATAAAAAGTAAACCATGCTATTACAGTGTAGACACAATAACTTCAATGTGTTTAATGAAGATGTAGAAGAGATGCTTTAGAAATAAGCATATACAGAGTATAACTGGATATACCTGAGCAGATAACACTGGCATCTTCCTTATGTTTGCAGTCATGGACTCCCCATCCATTATGAGAACAGTCCTCAAAAGAAGATTCATTTCCTTTGCATTGTACAGCATTCAGGAGGATGCTGCCAGAGCCTTTGCCAAAGTAGGCACTTAGCAGGGCTGCAGTGGCTTCTCCACAACCAAGTTGTTGGCACACAACCTGAGCATCTTTCAAGTCCCAATCATCATCACAGACAGTTCCCCAGGTCCCATCATGGTGGACTTCAAGGCGACCCTGACAGCTGTTCTCTCCGTTCACCAGTCTTAGGGAGAAAGGACTTGCTGATGTTTCCAAAGGAGTATTCACTGCAAATGTTGATGAAGAACATAACAACACTATTCTTTCTTCAGTTACATATAATGCTGACAACTGCATTTTTTCCACTAAAACCCAGCATCGCTACTTACCTGTTGTAACACTCTGTTCAGTAGATGGAGGTGGTGGAGTTCCTAATTTAAAAAGAAACAGATACAATGTCAAATATTTTAAACCTTGTCTTATATCACATCACTTTTAAATATCTAATTAAGTTTTTTAAATCTGACTTTTCAGGGTTTCTTGTAGCTGCGTATTGACCTATAAACCTTTAACTTCAAGTGTGTTGCCTTCAGATATAAGATGTTTATATTTTATCATGTCCCCTCACATAGAATGAACCAAAAAAGTCATGTCTCAGTTTTTTGTTTCAATACAACTCAGAAAATACATTTGTTATTGTTTTGCAAACTTGATTTGAATGTAAATTATTGGCTCTTATTTTTGGTGTCTGCTAAAAAGATTTTTCTTTAGACCACCCAGCTGATCTATTTAGAATTGATGAGCATTTTAATCTGTTTTCAGTTTATTGTTGATTTTAATTCTTGGAATGTTTTCAAATTATTGTAATTTATTTAAAAAACACAATTACATTATTGTTTTATATTTTTTGTTAACAACTTTGAGACATTTTATAATCAAGCGGTGTATAAATTTTAATAAATAAATGAAAATAAAGAGGCCTGATAAAAGTGTGTTTGAACTTCCCAACAGCTTTCTTTTCAAATTAATTCATTCTATGGAAGCGCGAACTCTTATTGCTGCTCCATGAATGTGAAAACCAAGGGCAGAAGTTAAAACATGCTATTTTCCCCAGAGAAGAGGGATGTACTGTAAATCTCATTCTCCTTAACATAATATGCTAAATAGTATTACTAATGACTGAATGAATTAAATTTGTATATTGCCCTGTATCCACACGTATACAAATAAATAGCCAGAGAGTTAAAGGATAGTATAGATATAGGGTAGCCAGACCAATGAAAGAAGGGAAATTGCAATATATGCTGCTGTTAGGACACCCAATGGGACTCTCCTTTCTGCCCAACACTGAGTATAATACGAGCAGTATTATACCAAGAATGGTATACCAAACATGGATTAAATCTCTCTCTCTCTCTCTCTCTCTCTCTCTCTCTCTCTCTCTCTCACACACACACACACACACACACACACAGAGCCAGGTTAATACATACCTGATGTAATGGGTATTTCTGTGGTGGTTATGGGGCCTATAAATGGAAACAAGAAAGCACAGCATAAAATGAAAGTACATGCAAACGTTAGAAAAAGGAAACTCACAGCTATATGCTTCTTAGTGATGGAACCCCACGAAGCAGATGTCAGAGAGATTTAATGTTTAGAACCTGATTCGTCTAAGTCCTACCTTATGTCACGTATTGTGCAAAGGAACCACCATCTTGACTTGCAAATTCAGGTTCCTAATATTTCAGGTTGTGTCTTTCAAAATATGGAACCTGCCCTTAAACCTATGACTTATCTCTCCCTCCCCCTCCCCAAGCAAATCATGGCGAGCCCTTTCACTCCACACTATGATCCCGGTCTAATTCCTCACTACTTGAGAACATCAGTGCATCTGATGAAAGAGATAAGCAGTAGATTCAGGATAGACCGGATGAATTATTCGCCGCCACCTAGAATAGACTCAGAATACATTCTGCTGCAGGATGTGCACTGCTGCAGACAGGTATTGATCAGGAGAGTGTATACAACAAATTTCATGTGAATTGATCTATCAATGACAATTAAGCTTATTACCTTAATGGAGCTAGACCATCAGTGTACTACAGAAGTTACTATAGTTACTGGGTTATAAGAAATATGTGGAGACAAAGCTATAGACTTTTTGACACTTCCCAGGATATTCTAATGGCATTCCAAGAAGTGACTTTATGTGCTTAAACATGCTCACATTTGTCTTTAGACTCTAGCCTACACATTTATTACTGAATTCAGTTCTGTGGGTGTGCAGTCCGCACATAAATGCACAATATGATGAAAAAACCCCAAAACCTCTACACTCCACCATCATTTATCAGATGAAAGAAGATTCCCAGAAGTGAATTGAAGCGAGAGGAAAGAAATAGTGTCCTTACAGTATAGTCAAAAAACCCCACAAAATAGATGGAGGTGGTGAAGTTCTTGATTAAAAAAGAAACATATCTAATACCACATATTATGCACCTTGTCTTCATATTGTATCACTTTTAAATATCAAGGCTGCTTGTAACTTCAAACAGGCCTATACACATTCAACCTTTGTGTTATAAATAGATCACTGCGTTGTCTCCAGTTATAACATGATTATGATTTATCTTGCCGCCTGTCATAGATCAAATGAAGTCATCTTTCTGTGGTTTCATCAGAACTCAGAAAATCCAGTATGTTCTTGGTTTGCAAACCTTATTTGATTGCATATCATGGGTGCATTCAGATGTATGAAAAATTGTGTCATTTCTGCACATTCCTACTTTAATTCCTCCATGATTTACCCATGAAAATGGCAGGAAAGAACTATATGCTGCTATACTGCCTCAAATTTGGTTACTTTACTTTTGCATTTTTCTGGGATAATGTCCCGCCCACCCCCCCGGAAGCAATTAGCATGGAAATGAGCACTAAACACCTGATATATTCTACTAGATTTCTGGAAGTTATATATATATATATTCTGCAAAAACTCAACTATAATTTGAAAATCAACAGATAGGGAGATGCCAGGGAAGTGGAATGCACTGTCTTGTGAATGCAGCCTATGTTTTACCCCAGCCACAGTTTGCTGGATTTGAACATAATGGAAAACCATGGTTTGCTGCAAATTCAGAATTTGCTCATATATTGGAAGGAAGAATGCAAAAGGTCAAGGCTCATGACCAGGCAGGTTTTTTTTAAAAAAATGTATTTTTATTAAAGATTTTCTTGGTTTACAAAAGTATGTGCAATGTCTCTCTCTCCAGTCTTTCCCCCCAAGTAACATTTTTTTACAGATCAGTTTCATTTGTTGAGACATTAGGAAGAAAAGGGGGAGAGAGGTGGAGGGGGGGAAAGAAGAGTGATGGTGGAGTCGGGTGGCGATGTTTCTATTTTACTTAGTATATGTGTGGTTTTGTACAGGTTCTTTGCTATTCACTTGTGTTCCTTTGGTGGTGAGAGAGGTTGGGGTTGGCCTAGGGTGTGGTTATTCATTTGTGATTGTCTGTGGTGATCTTTGTTTACATGTGTGAGTGGGGTGGGTGGGTGTTTTGGGTCAGGTTAGCCACATTGATTTGCATGCTGTCGGTGGATTTTTGTCACTGTCTTGTTGGGCTGTGTATGTGATGAAGGGGAGCCATACCAGGGTAAAGGTGTCTGCTTCTATTTGTCTCCATGTCAGTTTTAGTTTATTGGTTAATTTTTCTAGTAAGGCTGTTTCCCATACTATTTGGTACCATTGATCCATGCTTACTCCTGACAGGTCTCTCCAGTGTCTGGCTATGATGCTTCTGGTTGCTGAGAGTAACTGGGTTACCAGGCAGCTTTATTTATATTTAAAAAAGCAAAATAAAGTAAATACATACCAGATGTGATGGGTTCTACTGTAGTGGTTATAGGTTCTAAAATTGGAAAGAATGTGTTAGAAGCTCCAAAAATTAGAAAGGAGAAAGCACAGCATAAAAGAAATTCCATTTAAACGCTAGAATCGAGAAACCCATAGTTACCAGGTGTGGTGGGTACTTCTGCGGTGGTTAGAGGCTCTAAAAATTAGAAAGAACAGGTTAGATGCTCTAAAAATTAAAAAGGAGGAAAGCAGTGGAGGTAGAATAAAGCTATCAGGATTAGTAGCCATAAATAACCCCATGATTCCTCACAACAGCGGAATCTCTGTTCATTTAATGGTCATGCCAAGGAAGGTACTACTTTGTATGACCCATTTTGAAATCATATGAGTTGCTGATATAAGCTGTAGTGATAGCTGTTAATGATGGGTTTAAAGGCAGTAATAAAGGAAATTTTAATTATTTGTAATTGTAACAGTATTTCTAAACCACTAACTCATTCCAAAACACACACACACACACACACACATGGCAGTATTCAGTAAAACTCGAACTGAATTGGTCTACTATCAGTGCCTGCTACCCATCTTAACCTGATACAGCCTATATTTTCAGATGCAGAATACCTCTGAATACCTCCTATTTGCCATTTATTTACTTGGAGCTGCACCCCTGCCTGCTCTTCTCTGCTCTGCTCTCCAGCTCCCTGCTGCTATTCCCACTCTCCTTTTCCAACCCCATGGCAACCCCAGGGATGGGGAACCATTTTGCAAGGACAAATCTGACAGCTGGTCCACCTGCCAATCAAATGGTATCACAAATAACATAATGGTTTGAAGTCCAGAAGCCAGGGCTATTCTTCAGGCTGTTCTGGTGCTAGCAGTGTGTGCAACCCAAAGAGCCATAGGTGGAGCTTCTGTCCTCTCACAAAACCTTCTAAAGGCACTCCAAGACTGCACTTAGGCACCCACACATTGGCCTTTGGATTCTGTCCTCTGGGTTTATTATTAAAATTAGTTCAAAGGGTGTGCAGTCTTCAAATAAAGGGATAATACTGGATGAAGGGGAAGCAATGGAAAGTTTCAGCACTGTTTCCCAGATGAAATAAGATTCTCTGTAGTGCATGGAGGAGTTTCCAATATAAAAAGAGCCTAATCATGTTCTTACAATACAAGCCATTGTATTTACATCAACAATTTATATACCGCAGTGTACAATGAGGTTACCAAATAGATAGAAAAGATTGAATCACTACTATACAGTGGTACCACGGTTTTTGAATTTCTCCATTTATGAACATTTCGGTTTTTGAACGCTGTAAACCCAGAAGTAAAGGCTTCGGTTTTCGAACACTTTTCAGAAGTTGAATGTGCCATGCGGCTTCCGTACTGAGTTTTCCATAAGTATATGCTTCTGGAAGCAAATGCTTTGGTTTTCAAATGTTTAGGAACTCAAACGGTCTTCTGGAACGGATTATGTTCGAAAACCGAGGTACCACTGTATTTGCCAATGTAGATCGAGAAGCCATGCTGCAAAAATTAACACATATGGAAAATAGTTTGTGGTACCTGAGCAGATGACGCTGGCATCTTCCTTATGCTTGCAGTCATGGACCCCCCATCCCTTATGGGGGCAGTCCTTAAGAGAAGATTCATTCCCACTGCACTGTAGAGCATCCAGAAGGATGCTGCCGGAGCCTTGACCAAATTCGGCACCTGTTGGAGCTGAAATGACTTCTCCACAACCAACTTCTTTGCAGACAATGCGAGCATCATTAATGTCCCATTCATCATCACAGATGGTCCCCCACTCCCCATTATGATAGACTTCAACACGACCCTGACAGCTGTTCTCTCCATTCACCAGTCTTAGGAAGAAAGGATTTGCTGATGTTCCTGATGGCGAAGTCTCTGCAAAAGGTGATGAAGAATGTGACAAGACTGTTTCTCATTTAATAATATGTAATCTTGACAATTGTATACAAATGTAAAAAAGAGAGATAAAAACAATCAATCCTTAACACCACCACCACCTTTTTGTGACTGATGGGGCTCAGTAATTTTCAGCCTACTCTGAGAATGCCAAATCCTTTTGTAGACACTTTACCTTGTGATGGAGTCTTTACTAATCTAGGCTCATTTAATGGATTCAAAAGGGGGAAAGAACAAGGAAAAAATTACCAGAGGTGCTAGGAACTTCAGTGACAACAGAGGGAGCTATTGCAGCAAAATAAAAGAGTAACCATTAAACAAAAATAGTTGAAAAGCAGACATTTCTGTGGCTGATTCCAATATACTTGAAGCTGTATTGTGATAATTTATTTATTGGGTGTTTATACCCCTTCTAAATGCATGAGCTCAGGAAAGTTTACAATATGTTCTCCTTTCATCAGATTGTACATCTGTTTACCTGAATTCAAGGTTCCTGAAGAGTTTTGAAATTTTCACTCTTGTGGAAATGTCACTTCTACATGTACCTACATGTACCTTCTCATGTCACTTCTACATGTACCTATATAAGGTTGACCACATATATCCCAAGAGGAGCTGGAAACCTCTGGGTCTGTTTTGTTGGGCAGCACTTGTGTAAAACCAAACCATAAACCAGTTTTGTAGCAGACATATTAACTGTTTGCAGACAGCAGCTTCCAGCAAAACTAGTTGCACAACTTGGCGTCGCATCATGCGTTGCAGAGCTGGCAAACACACCATGCATCAGATGCAGGGCTCTGCATGATGCTGAGCAAAAATAAATGCCTCATATCTTTCTGGGTTCATAGCAAAATCACATGGTTAACATGTGGGGAATGTGCTGATCTGTAATGTGTGACTTGCTTGTTACTTGAACTCATTAATATTCTCACCTTCCATTGTGATTAGCAGAGGTCAATAAAGAGATTCAGTCCCTATGTAAGTTACAAATGCACAGTAGATACCCACCCTGATTGGACATGCCCTAATTTTGTCTTTCTCTATCTATTAAATTTAAATAATTGAGTTAAGCCACACAGTACCATGCACAGAGGTCAGACTAATTTTCTCAGACTGTTGTGTACCTCCTTGAGTTGTGGTTGGCATCTCAGGGGTAACCGTTTCCTCAGTTGTGCTTATTGCTTGGGTGGTTCCTTCTGTTGTCAACAATGTTGCAGTGGTTCCTTCTGGTGTTGTAGAATACGTGTGAGCTGTCAAGAGACGAAAATAATTTTGAGTTTCATAAAGATAAAGTCCAGAAGTGATAATTGTTGGATTGTGCACAAAGATAGCATTTTTGGTGCAGCTCCAGGATGGAAAGAACAGATTCTTCTCATAGTTTCCATGTCCTTGAGTGATGTCAACTTTGTGGAGTGGATAGACTAGGACTGGGGAGGCCCACGATAAAATCCCCACTAAGTTATGGAGCTCATTGGGTAATCTTGGACCAGTCTTTCAGTCTTACCTACCTCACATGGTGGAAAAAGAGGGTGGGGTGGGGAGAAGAATGTGTGGCATCTCAAGCTCTTTGGAGCACACATTGGATACAAATGGAATAACTTACTAAATTAACTTGACATTTAACAAGGACACAAAGGGCAGTCCTGGAAACTTGGAACATGTAGCACTTCATGTAGCTTCTCAAGACTTCTTTCCATCTGAAAAGCAGCATCTCCTACTACCTGACTAGCCTATCTATGAAGAAACGGCCATAGGAGGAAAATAAATATTATTCAAGAAGCCGTGGACATGCATGGAAGAACTTGCATGCTGCCATGAGGCTCGTTGGCTCTTGCAAATTATTTTTGTAATATTTCTTTTTTAAATGTCAGGCCTTTTTGTACAGCCCCCCCCCCATTGTACTGCTGTCATACTTTCACTACTGTTATGCTAATTGAAAGAAGCACCCTGTGTTGAGAGCCACTTTTGTTAGCATGGAGTGTACCATTCATGTGATGAATGGCAAATCACCATGTTAAATGCAACTATTCAACTCCCATCACCAAGCGTTATAGTGGTATGGAAAACGATGGTTCGTTTCATTAAAGAACTGTTTAGATGTCATGTGTGTAGTGCAATCAACAGTGCAAAAATAAAATGAAAGACAACCACCAACCCTCAGTCATGTGCAGAGAGCTTGTATGAATAATCCCCTATGGACTGTTCCAAGAAGTTCAATGCTGTGGCTTTAGTGCTTAAATTGTAAGGGGGAAAGGTGTTGGGAGCCCTAGCTTGCCTAGATCAGTCCTTTGGACCTAAAAGCATGACTTTTTAGTTCTCAAAGTTTGAGAACTATCTTTCTTTGGTTATTTAGCAGTAATGGGCAAACACACTGTGCATGCTCAGAGGTATTTTCATCCCTGTGTTTACTTTATATGTTCCAGACCTGATCCATGGTGAGATCATCTGGCCTCTCACAGACCACATTTACCTGAACAAATAACACCTGCATCTTCGCTGTGATTACAGTTAGTATTATATAATCCTTGATGGTTGCATTCTCCCAGACTTGTCTCATTTCCATCACAATCCACATTGTCCAGAACAATATCTCCTGTGCCTTGGCCAAAAGGAGCACCTCTCAGAGCCGAGATGGCTTCACCGCAACCAAGTTGCTGGCATACAACAGTTGCAGCTCTTAGATTCCAGGTGTCATCACACACTGTTCCCCATTGGCCGTCAGAAAGCACTTCAACGCGGCCTTCACAGCTTGAGCTTCCGCTGACCAACTGGACAGGCAAGTAACCTGTTGAAGACACAAAGAGCAGGAATGTTGAACTGTGAATCAGACAGAGGTATTTGGCACGAAAAGGAAGCCTGCTAGGATTATTTGCATTCCCAAGTTTCCAACAGGGAAATCCATAGTAGCCAATTTCAAACCTGATGCCACTACAGGTGTGGCGGAGATGGGTATGGTTTGCACAGTGCTATAATAGGGAGATTCTATAGCCAAGAGATTGTGCAATTTAGGGTTTTGTTTCACTTTCCTCCCACGGGACTGAGCACAAGATGTAAAATGGCCCTTCTGTGATCATCAAGTGCCCTCTGCATGAGGAAGGACACGCTTGGACAAAAGCCATTGCAGCTTCACAAATACCATACAGTTTGGCATACTCTTCAGGTACAGAACACAAAAGAGACACTGTTCCTGGAGGGCTTACAATCTGCATCAGACAAAAGAGCAGGGAGAAAAGTTAGAGAAAGAAAGAAAGTGGGGAGAGAAAAGTCATGTAGAAAAGGAGAAGTTGAAAAAGAGAAGCAAAAAGAGCAGGAAATGCTTTTGCTAAAGAGAAAAAAAATTCCTTCCAGTAGCACCTTAAAGACCAACTAAGTTAGTTCTTGGTATGAGCTTTCGTGTGCATGCACACTTCTTCAGATACACTGTGTATCTGAAGAAGTGTGCATGCACACGAAAGCTCATACCAAGAACTAACTTAGTTGGTCTCTAAGGTGCTACTGGAAGGAATTTTTTTGTTTTGACTATGGCAGACCAACACGGCTACCTATCTGTAACTTTGCTAAAGAGGTTACTGTGAAAGGCATGGAAGAAAAGGAATTACTCTGACGATGGGTCATTTAGCCCTGTGCATTGTGGGCAGGATGACAAAAGACGGGACAAAGTAGGGGGGAAATGCAGCTTACGCCAACAAGCAGAAACCAAGCAGATGGTTACCACTACCATGGAGAGCAGAATAGCCCTACTCCTTTAGGGATATTCTCACTTCCAAGTGAAAGAAGACTTGCAAGAAGAAAATAATAACAAAGAACTGTATGGCATGAATGACATCAGGCATGAATGATATTATCACTCCCACCCCCTAGCGCAAGGATGAATCCAACTAACATAAGCCCTAGCCAGCATAGTCAGTGGCCAGCAATAATGCGAACTGTCATACAACAATTAATGGAAGGTCACAAATTCCCCTGTCCATTCCCAGGATGTAATTGAAATCCCACTGGCTGCAACCTAGAAAGGAACATCCAACAATCTGGTGAATACTTTTGCCTATGCCACAAATAAACAGACTCACCTGTTGGTTGATCTCCAGCATCTGTAAATAAAGAAACAGAAATTGTTATGGTTACTGAACTGTATCTGTGCAAAAATCACAGTGCTGTTAATATGTGATTTTAATGAAAATCCTTCTAGTTAAGCATGCTGTCCTGATACCTTTTGTACTCTCATGTTGCATTGATGAACATGATCCCATGGGGTTGTGATTAGTGTCATGTAGTTGTGCATTGCTGTGTATTGTATTGTTGAATTTTTTATTCATTCTTATTACAAAACTGAAATAAACACATGTGTCATTGATACTTAGGTTAACTGAATTGTATAACTATCAAGACATGGAGTTAACCTTTTAATAGCTTTCTGCTGTCTCTTGCTTGCAACTCCCCACCCTTATTGAATAGTTAGTGTCATTAGAGATTACAAGTCTGTCATAGCTCAGTTCCAGATGAATTCGTTTTTCTGTGCCCTATTCCATCAAAATATCTGCTTCCTTGGGGTATCTCAGCTTCCATAACAGTAAAAAAGTTTAGTACTGGTCATGCTTGATCTGCTTGTGCATTGAAAGCTATGCTCTTTGATTCTCAGGCAGTCATCCAAATATTTTAATTGTCCACAATCATTTGTTCTGTATGCAACCTAACCCTATTCAAATTGCATTCCCAATTATTCAACTCTCTGATTGTTCAAATTGTATTACTCCCAAATCACCTGAATAAATTGAAATTGTGTTGTGCCTATAGTAGGTGGTTTGTCTGAAGCACTCAGCTTGCAACCAGGGATGGACAAATTCATCATTTTCAGTCCCTCATTTTCCCAATAATAAGTCCAGTTGGGAACTTTTCCACATCAGCATGCATATATATATATATATATATATATATATATATATTCTCATGAAAATCCACCAGCAATTTAGTGTGAATTTCTCCTAATCTATGCATTCTCCTAATTTATGCATTGTTCTATGCAGTTTTACTTGATATACACAATTTTTCAAGGCATTTTCTCAAAGTATAATGGTTGTTTGGATGTTATTTTAGCTAATATATGCATTTTTATGCACACTTTGCCTGGTATATTTTTGTGTGTACATATTTCTTGGTGACAGAGTTGCAAAGCTGAAGAAGCAGAAGTTTAATAAAAGAGCTGCTTTTAGGCTTGCATATTGTTTCAGAAAATGTGAATTACTTGGTTTTCCCATTCGAATTGAATCTAATTTCTTCCCCATCCCTACTTGTAACATCATTCTTTGATGTGTTTGAAGTTTGTTTGCAATTGAAAAACCCTACATAGTGTACAGAGAGATGTTACCTGAGCAGACGACACTGATGTCTTCATTGTGCCCACAGTCATTTACCAACCATGTAGCATGAGGACAGTCCCAGAGGTAGAGTTCACTTCCTGTGCAGTTCACATCGTCCAGGAGTATGGGTCCAGCTCCTCGGCCAAAATAAGACCATCCATACACCGTGGTTGCCTCTCCACAATCAAGTTGTCTGCACACTACATGTGCATTTTTCTTATCAAAGTTGTCATCACAAACAGTCCCCCAAGTTCCTTCGTAGTTGACCTCAACTCTCCCAACACACTTGTTCCATCCATTCACTAAACGCAACTGCTGAGCACCTTTGTAAAACAAAAAACCCAAAATGGTTGTTAAGTTAAATGCAAGTATACCAGCTCTATAATGTTCTGTATTAAAAGGAAACATAAAGTCTGCAAGTTTATTGAGTGTTTGGGAGTAGTGCAGGAGATGGTGGATACATACAAGTTTTATGATGTCTTAATTTCTGGGAGAACTTATTTTACCCACATAAATCTGTAGACAGGATTCTACAGGAGCAATTTTGTGAACTTCATTAACAATCTAAAGGGACAGATTCTACCTCCCCCCACCAACGTACAGCCTGATCATCAACTACTCCTTGATGCATATTCATCTGACCCAAATCTATTTCTCGACTCACAATTGCCACCCTTTAAAATAGCCCTTCTTTAAACATCAACACACTGCTAAGGCTTTTATGCACATTCATGGGTAATGTGTAATTTGCTCTTGGGAATCACCAGTGAACTTGAGAAGGTGGGACACACTCCTAATAGTTAAGACACATAAATTTGGCCTCCTGCAGCTTTCGTCTGTTCACAGAAGGCTTTTGATCCAGTGGAGAAATCACACTGGTGAAATAGATGAGGAGACTTTCTCTCCGCCCCCCCCCCATTCCTTCTTCATAATTTCCTCCCAAAATCTGGATGGCTGGAGGAACCTCTGGAAGAGTACGGCTTCAGGAGGAAGGAGGAATTGGCCAAAAATTACTCCCTTCTTCCTTCCATTGGTGGGAGCATCCTGGGCAGAATTCTGCTTTGGAATTGTTACTGCCAGTTGAGGGTAAGTCTGAGTACAACCCAGTTTGCCTGAATAATCAGTTTTTATAATACATATCCTTGGACTTTTCATCCTTGGAGTTCTATCCTTTTGTTCCTGTATGCCCACGGAACCAAGAGATAAAATTTAATAATAGTTTTAGTAGACTTAATTGCTGAGTGGTTTCCTGCACAGTTGAATAGGCTCAGCTGCCTACCAGTTTCATGCAGGCCCACTTTTGCTGGGATTTAAGCAGAGAAGCAACCCATCCCCAAGCCCAAGGCAATATAAGCACAGTACCTGATTCATGTAGGAGAGCAGAAGGTATCAACACCATCCAAAATAAGCGTATCTGGGCACCCATGTTTCGGGTGGGTTTCTGCTAAAATAAAGAAATGGTGAATTTCAGAATTTATAAGCATTCTAATCTGCTCCGGAAACCATGTGGTTTGCAATTTGATCTTTCTTTTTGAACTCCCAGATCTATGTCACGGAAGTCCGGGATATTTTCATTTCACAATCCATATCCCTGGAAATAGACAGTTACTGATTATTATTGCTTTGGAGAAGCCAGTGGGAACATAAGTGTCCAACACTCAAATCACATATAATGCCATCTGATTTAACTGCTCCAGGAAATACTAGTGTTTCCCCCCAGAGGTAATGGTGTTGTTTAATCTGCTTTCCAAATACCAGCATGTTATCCTAGATGTAGAGATAGAGTGCTCAGGTGAGAAAAGAGAAAGGCTCCTTTTACTATTAATAATTGTGTAGATGAGGGAATTTCAGCAAACCTTGCTTGTATGACAACTATGAATTGCATTTCCTCTGCCTTAGTTTATTTATCTATCTAGATTTGTAGACCACCCTTCATCACTTATACTGATCTCAGAGCAGTTTTCAGAATATTAGATAATAAACAACAGCTACAGAAATACACTTCAGTTAAAACAATAATTAAAACCAACAAAGCCACAGAAGAGCCCATGTTTCTTTGGGCGGCAGAAAACTGCATTGCAGAGTTGGAACAGTACCATGTTTCAAAGAATGGCTGCTTTTTGGTCCCCATATTGTTCCAGAAAGTGCAAATTAGTTGGTTTACCCATTCGAACTTGAATCTAATTTCTCCCCCATTCCTCCTAACATTCTCCACTGAATAGGTACACATTTTAATGTCAGAGAAAGTGTTTGGCTCTAAACCAGAGGTGGGAAACCTTTTCCAGCCCAAGGGCCACATTATTTCATCTTCTGGGGGCCACACACCAGTGGAGGGCAATTGCCGGAGGAAAAATGGGCGTGGCTAGTGGTAGTAGATGTGGTCAGAGGCAATAGCAGGTGAAACAGCAGTTGTGACACTGACCCTTGCATAGGAGGCTGCATTCTTAGTACACAAAAACCAGATGTTTCTATACACACAACTCCCACCCAGCACCAAGTAAGAAGCCATATAGTGCAAAGTGCAAAGACGCAGTCAAACCACTCAAGGGGAACTCAGAGTAGGGCTGGTGAGAGTGTGTGACCTGGGTGGGGGGAATCCTAAGGCCTGGAGGGGCCATACTACTGAGCAAACTACAAGAAATTCTGCTAAGATAAATCAAGTTTTGTTGGGGACTAATCCACAAAAAACAGGTGTTAGTGACTGCAATCTTTATTTGCCAAGTCTTGCTCAATAATAGAGAGAAAAGCTGATCTTGAGCAGATAAGCTTGTGAGCTGGGAAATTCCAGCTTCAGGGTGTGCCTCACCCCTTAAGGCACTGGAGAAGTTGTGACTACATTGTCCCAGGTGAGCTGCCGTTCTTTCAACTTCGCACCTCCCCAATCTGCAATCTAGAATAAGAATGCTGATATACTTTATGTGGTAGTATGAAGATTCCTGAGATGTAAGGGGGGAAGCTGAGGTTGGGCAGTGCTGAATAAACGCTAAGAATTATTTCAAACCTCCATTTCTATTTCAAAATGGATTGGTCATATACATTAAAAGTTGATTGGGCCTCATGCTAGTTTCCCCCTTTTGATTTTGTTGGAAGAGATAAACACCTCGTCCCCAAGTGCCCTAGAACGCGTGGAAAGCAAGTCCATATTCAGAAAGGGTGGCGACCTAATAGATCTGCATTAATCCTTCCCCCCAGCTGCTACCGCATTGCTTCACATGCAATACGATTCCGGAGGACCTCTTACATGGCTTAGGGGAGCACAGAGGACTGCAGTGTGAACGACAAGGCAGGAAAGCCTCATTCCACAAGCAGAACACCAATTGCTCTGCTAGAGATTGCTGGGCCAAATTGGATAAGGCGCCATTCATGCCTCTAGCAATTTTCTGAATAGCTTTTTGAAAAGTAAATAGCAGGTGTAGACCTCCGACCTAGATCAGAGGAGAAAATGGCTCACCCAGTAGAGTGGAGCTGCAAGGCTAGTTCTCAGCAGGTGTGTTGCTGACACTTATGGAAAGGGTCAAGGCGGTGAGGAGGTCAGCATGGTGCAGGTGCACCAGCAGAACCAATCCAGCCCCCTCACGGCTTGACCTGCACCTCCTCAACTTCCCCAATGCCTCATCTTTCTCCTTCTGGATAAACAGCACCAAATCAGGACCACAGTGGACAGCAAAGGATTAAAGCCCCTTAGCTGCCACATAATGTTCCCAGTCTAGGTCAACCTGCTGTTCTTTTGCCAGTGCTGAAGTAAGTTTCCACTGCCAGCCTGGTCACTATTTGTAAGTGGAATGAGAGGTGGGAGAAGCATCTTGTACCTTGGCCCAGGCAGAAAAATGTATTGAATCATCTCTGCTGGAGTGTGGCAGGGAGACAAGCCGAAGTAGCCATCATGATGTTCAGTGAATGCAGGAATCAGCCCCTTAAGTCTCAGTCCCGGTGAAGGACAGTCATTCTCTGTGATGAAGTTAAATCGAAAATTAGCCTAAGCTTTCAAGCTTTGCTAGTAACATGCCTTCAGACTTTGGTCACATCCATTTAAAGCACTCTCATACCACATTAACCTTTAAAGAATTTCCCAAGATTCTTTGTGGGAAGCCATGAGTGGGGTCACTGTGATGTAGTGGTTGGGTGTTGGACTGAGACACAAGAAATCCAGGTTTCAGATCCTGCTTGGCCATGAAACTCACTGGGTGACCTTTGGCCGGTCACTGACTCTCAGCCTAACCTACCTCACAGGGTTGTTGTGAGGATAAAATGGAGGACAAAGATTATGTAAGTCATTCTGGGTTCCAGGGAGGAGAAAAGACAGACTATAAATATAACAATAAATAAATGTGCATTCAATGTATGGGTGGTATTCTACCAAGTTTTCCTCAGAGTAGACCTACTGAAATTAATGGACCTAATTTACTCCTGTTCATTAATTTGAATGGGTCTACACTAACTTGTCTGACTACCACTCATTGTAGAACATAAATATTTGGTTTATTTGCAGATACAATTGGTGAATGCATTGAATTTGGGAACTAGGGCGTAATCCCCCACTCCCATCTCTGCACTTCCTTCCTTCTATTCTCTTATGAACACAATGACATGATCAGGTATGTTGTCTACACTGCATCACAACCAAGCTGCTCTGGTGTAAGGAACAAGATATTGACATCATAAAGAAAATTGCAAATGCAAAGAACAATAAATACTGGGCACTTTGGCTTCTTGCAGAGGCATGAAACTCAGGGTAAAAAAACAACAAAGGTGCTTAGTCATTAATCCGGATATGATAGACAGATTTAATTTAAATAAGCAAAAGGGGGAAGGAATGCAGGTGACATCAAGGTTGACCTTTGTGGACATGGCATGATTGTTAAAATGTTTCCTGTAATAACATCTGTTTTGAAAATATCAGTCAAGCCTACCTATGAAACAAAGGTGGCTTGTTAAAGTTTAGTTGATTGGCAGGAATCAGCTCTCTCTCTCTGCGTGTGTGTTGCTCGGAAATCCTGGGAACTACCTGTTCTTTCTGTCTTTCAAGACTTCCTTTCAATTCTTGAAATTAAACACGTGCCATATATATGAATGGGAATACAATTGCCACAAGGCATTTCCTTGCCTTTTAGTGTTTGAATTGCAAACCTGGTAAGAATAGGACAACCTGAAGTATTATCCTATCCTATAATCTGGGGTGTTTCCCCCAAACCATGTCCATCTGCAGGTACCAGACACACATGGGTCAGCTGTGCAACTGAGCTCTTTCTCCCTCTTTTTCTGAGAAAGGAATGTGGTAAAAAGTCTCCCGTTTATAATGCTGAGTTTCTATGAATTTCCAGTC